TAATGCTATCTACTTTATCTATGATTATTATTAATTCTTAACGATTTGTAAGTTGACCGTATCGGGCTATCCCGGTCAGTTCATTCACCTGTATATAGAAATAAATCAGTTGAGTACTACTCGTTGTTTTACACAGTTGTGCTTTGAGCCTTGAGTTTTGGCTAGAGAGATAGAGAGTCAGTTAGACTCGTATTAGAGTTAGAGTAAAGTAATCATCATCTAGATTTCTTACAATCATCCATTCTGTCCCCTTAGAGATTTCAAGAAGGTCAAATTAACAGAAGATTGCATGAACAGAAGTTTTAAGTAAACAGGCATAATCGTTACAGTATATCACAACTGTAAAATAATCCAATTGTCCCCCTAGAGATTTCATGAAGGTCAAATTAACAGTTTTCATGGAAAAGTAGCAAAAAAAAATAAAAGAACGACAAAACAACTTCAGAGACTAAAACTTTTATTCAGGATAATGCTTTGCCATATCAACTGATCACAGAGTCCCTTGCATGAATTCAAGGATCTGAGGTTTCTTCCTGGGTAGACATACTGGAAACCCACCAAAATAAAACCAAGAAATTATTTAAAAAAGTGTAGCTGTGGTCAAAAACCAAACTTTAGCCGACAAGGAGGATGGGTACGACTTAGCGAGATCTGAATAGATTTTAAATGCATTAGTTTTGAGTTCAGAACAATTGAATAGAAACCAAGTTATCAGATTGGCTTTTGGGATTTAAAGAAAAGAAAAACTTAAGAAAATGAGATAAAATGATAGAATAGACTAACAGGAGAACTGGAGATAAAGTAACAGCTAAAATCTTTAGTCTTTTCACTTTCTTTCGTCCTGCATGACTCAAACTTAATTTAACAACTCATCTAGATTATATAGTTCACAATATAAAAATTTATTTGAACCAAAACTGAAAAAAAAACTATTTTCACTTTTACGGCGTCAATGGTTAACCTCTCCAACACAATTTTGTCCTATACATCCCTGCAGGGTTTCTAATTAGTGGAATGAGATGTATTCCGAATTCGAGCAGTTTCAGTCGGAATTAAACCATGAACAATCAGGGCCGTACAAAACAGGATCTAGTTGGGATCATCATTTAGAGAGAGTTGGGATTATTTACAGAGACTTGGGATCATTTAGAGAGATTTGGGATTATTTACAGAGACTTAGGATCATTTAGAGAGATTTGGGATCTTTCAAAGAGAATAGGGATCATTTAGAGAGCGTAGGGATCATTTAGAGAGAGTATCGGGATCTTTTCTGGAGTGTTAATTTTAACGAGATTTTTGGGAAAGATCTTTTTAGAAATAAGGGGGGGATTGAAGTTTTTTATTAAAGAGGCATGTTTCTTTTAGAATAGCAGCAATCTTTAAAGTAGAACAGATGATATTATGAGATTTTGGGAGAGAACCTAAATCTTTTATTGGGAACAGGGGATCCATTACATAGAGTGGAGATTTTCTGGACAATAAAACCATCTTTTCTTCGTCGATCTTTTAAGAAGAGCAACGATCTTTTCATAAATAGAGCAGAAAACTTCATTTAAAGGATGAAAAATAAGGCTCACTGATTGTTATTTATTTATTTATCCTGAGAGCAGTGATCTTCATGACTTATAGAGATAAAAGAAAGAAAATGTTAAGGGAAAGAAAAAACTATATATATATATAGAGAGAGGATTATTAGGGATGCATCAAATTTGTGTGTAGATCTAGGTTCTTTGCAAAAAAGGATAAATTTAGATCAAGGTTTTTGTATAGATTTGCAAAAATGTATAAAGAAATGAGTTTTTGCCTCAAACTCAGATATTTTCTAATCCCTTTATCCTTGCAACCCAGTGTCTTAGATCTTAGATATTTCAAACTATGAAATCTGTTAGGTCAAATAACCTAAGTTCGAAATATCAAAGGTTTACACTGTAAGGTTACAATGATATCGGGATTAGAAAATTTGAGCTTGTGGCAAAGACTCAATTTTTTTAGATCTAGATTTAATAAAAAATTTGCAAAAAAGAGAAATTTAGATAAAGGTTCTTGTAAAAGTTTTCAAAAATGCAAAAAATCTATATTTTAAAAGATTTATTTACATTTTGCAAGTAGAATGTACCGAACGATACTTTGGAGTTTAGTGCATATATTCCTATTTAATACCTGTAAAGCAGATAAGGTCAGTTTTTTAACGCTTTTAAAAAAAAAATTGATTAAACATAAATAACAAATGTAAAACTTTATGTGTTTAGAAAAAACTGCTTTCCTTTGGGGGTAATGGAAATATAGGTAAAATATATTCTTTAAGCATTATTTTCGGTTACAATCAGATTGGCAATGAAAATGATTATTCTCATCCTACTCATTTTCTAATTTTGCAACATAATGTAGTAAAAACTTTGATATTCAATCTCTGAATTTAGCTAAATCTAAAAGTCAAAGTTTGAATTATCAACATTTTATACTATCAGGTTGTACAAATATGGGGATTAAAAAATAAGACTTGGAGGCGAGTAATCAGTTCCAGCTGATTTAACGGCGGTAAAATGCTGGATTTATTCAGTTTGATACAAATTTTATCCAGCTGATTTAATGGCTGATATGTTAAAAAGTTATTCTACATTGACCCAGCTCAAAAAACAGCTGATATGTTTAGCTGATTACACAGCTGTTATAGAAAGGTTCCTCTATTAATACGGCTGATTAAATGGCTGATATGTTTATTGGTTCTTCTACATTAACCCAGCTGTTTTAACTGATATATTTTAGTTCCCATACATTAACCCACCAGATTAAAAACTCTGATGTATTAAGGTTTATCTTCATTTACAAAGTTGATTATTGATCAGCTGATATATTTAGGTTCCTCTACCAGCTAATTGAAACTCTGATGTATTTAGGTTCATCTTTAGTTACAAAGCTGATTATTGAACAGCTGATATATTTAGGTTCATTTACCAAGCTGATTATTGAACAGCTTATGTATTTAAGTTCCTCTACGTTGACTTAACTGATTGAACCTCTGATGAGTTTAGGTTCATCTTCATTTACCAAGCTGATTATTAAACAGCTGATACATTTAGGTTCCTCTACGTTGACTCAGCTGATAGAAACTGATGAATATGATATAACTATTGTAACCAGAGGAAAATGGCATTGGGACTCCGAACAGAGGTAACAGATACAGCACTGCAAACTACGCAGAAGGAGAGGGTCAAATTTATGCGATATCACTTGTATGGCTTTGCGACCTTCTAGCTCTTCTTATAGTTTGATTTTACGTCTAAGTATGAGAAAAATAACAAATTTATCTGGTTACAAACTAGAATATATTTATCCGGTTACAAACTAGAATATATTTATCCGGTTACATACCAGAATATATTTATCCGGTTACATACTAGAATATATTTATCCGGTTACATACTAGAATATGTTTATCCGGTTACATACTAGAATATATTTATCCGGTTACATACTAGAATATATTTATCCAGTTACAAACTAGAATATACTTATCCGGTTATATCCTAGAATATATTTATCCGGTTATATACTAGAATATATTTATCCGGTTACATACTAGAATATATTTATCCGGTTACATACTAGAATATATTTATCCAGTTACAAACTAGAATATACTTATCCGGTTATATCCTAGAATATATTTATCCGGTTATATACTAGAATATATTTATCCGATTACAAACTAGAATATATTTATCCGGTTACAACTAGAATATACTTATCCGGTTATATCCTAGAATTTATTTATCCGATTACATACTAGAATATATTTATCCAGTTACAAACTAGAATATACTTATCCGGTTATATCCTAGAATATATTTATCCGATTACAAACTAGAATATATTTATCCGGTTATATCCTAGAATATATTTATCCGATTACAAACTAGAATATATTTATCCGGTTACAACTAGAATATACTTATCCGGTTATATCCTAGAATTTATTTATCCGGTTACATACTAGAATATATTTATCCAGTTACAAACTAGAATATACTTATCCGGTTACATACTTGAATATGTTTATCCGATTACAAACTAGAATATATTTATCCGGTTACATACTAGAATATATTTATCCGATTACAAACTAGAATATATTTATCCGGTTACAAACTAGAATATATTTATCCGGTTACATACTAAAATATATTTATCCGGTTACATACTAGAATATATTTATCTGGTTATATACTAGAATATATTTATCCGGTTACAAACTAGAATATATTTATTCGGTTATATCCTAGAATACATTTATCCAGTTACATACTAGAATATATTTATCTGGTTACAAACTAGAATATACTTATCCAGTTACAAGCTAGAATATATTTATCTGATTATATGCTAGAATATATTTATCCGGTTACATACTAGAATATATTTATCCGGTTACATACTAGAATATACTTATCCGGTTACAAGCTAGAATATATTTATCCGGTTATATGCTAGAATTTATTTATCCGGTTACATACTAGAATATATTTATCCAGTTACAAACTAGAATATACTTATCCGGTTATATCCTAGAATTGATTTATCCGATTACAAACTAGAATATATTTATCCGGTTATATCCTAGAATATGTTTATCCGGTTACATACTAGAAGATGTTTATCCGGCTATATCCTAGAATATATTTATCCGGTTCCAAACTAGAATATATTTATCCGGTTACAACTAGAATATACTTATCCGGTTATATCCTAGAATATATTTATCCGGTTACCTACTAGAATATATTTATCCGGTTACAAACTAGAATATACTTATCCGGTTACAAACTAGAATATATTTATCGGGTTACATGCTAGAATTGCAAACCTTTTTCGTTCTCCTCAAAAGCTCCTTCCATCTCACGTAAAATTGACTTTAGTTCAGCGTGAAAGGTACATAAATGATTTAAAATTATTTCTATTTTCTTCTTTTACTGTACACTGTACAATGTACATTATAAAAAACATGTTTTATTAAATAAACAGGAATCCCGAGATCAAGCAGGGATCAAGTATTTCATCCTCCATTTTAAATGTTGAATTCTATTTAAATATTTATTCGTTTATTCAAGAAGTTTGATTTAAAAGTTGTCAAGGTGGATATCGAGATCAAGCGTTGAATATTAACATATTTTACACAAAAGTGTTGGTCTCAGGAAACCCAATTGCAGAATAAATCTTAATATCTAATTATTTCAGAGTAAAACCGTTTGTGCACCAGCTTACTTGTGACAGAAACTTTGAACCAGAGTGCGCCTCAAACAAGGTTTTTTTTCATTATCTAAGAACAAATTACTATAAAAAGAGATTCATTAATAAAGGAAAATCATCAGAATTTACTTTTTTCATCCTTTTATCTTTATAAAATATTTTAGATATGCAGTTTTTTATTATTTTATTATTTCTAATATTTAGACTGCTGTTGACTGTGATATAAACGCCATTAGACAATGTCCTGAACTTCTAAGTTTTATCAGAAATACGGATCTATTCGATCTAGTCATAGACTTTAGCGCGTAAGTATAAACAATAAATTTTATTTAATAGTTTCGGACAGATACAACAGATTAAACAGATAGAACAAGTCAATTGGATTTAGTTTAATCAGCTTTTTTAGCATTAAAGTATTATTGAGCAAACTCCATTTATCGCTCCGAAAAGAGATTGCTATATTTATCTGTTTTGCTGCACATTTGATATTTCCTGATCCAAATTTCCCATTTTCTGTATTTTTTCTTTTTAAAAATTCTTAGTTTTCATAAAAACTAATTTCAGGTACCATCCGAAATGGATTCACGACAATATGGAGGTAATAATCATTTTATTTTAAATAAAATTGATTTTTTATTTTTATTTTTATTCTTATGTATGGCGAAATGTGTTCAGGAATTGAAAGGAAAAGTTGGTTTGTACATCTACATCAGTTCAGATTCAATATACGAGGTAACCTTGTAGTCATGATAAATATTAATCAGAGCATATAATTCTTTGGCAAGTCATAAAACGATGGGTTTAGCCGTTTTCACGTTTTATTCGACACAGACTAGCCAACAAATATACAGATAGAAGTTATATGTACAATTTAAAATATAAAACATGATTGGGTTGTTACGATCGAATCTCGGAATTTTTCTATTGCGAAAGTTTCGTGTAGTAGGGGTTATGTATTGATCTGCCAGGGGTTGTAATCTGGCAGCACATTCATCCGTCCACGCTTCATTTATTCTGAGAAAAGGGCTGACAAGATTCCAACTGCCTAAGGGCTTCTTATGCCTGAGAATAGTAGAGTGCATGAATGAGGCACGGGTGCCTTACAGATAGGAAACACTCATTGCTTATTTAAGCCCCGATTGGATATCTCCATGGGTACCTATAGCTGGCAACCTATAGACTCTCCCTGCTTGTCAATAAAATAAAAAAGTTAAAGCTGCCGAACTAATGATTTACGAAAATGAGTCTTTGTAGTTTTTTTTAGTTATCTTAGGAAAGGGGAAATCAAGCTTGATTGGTTGGATAAACAGTAGAATTGTTTCATCAGCTCTTTAGAAATTGGAAAATGGAAGATATAAAACTAAATATTACACTATCTACAGGTGTGTAAAGATAAACCAACAAGAAGGCCAAGTATAGAAACTGACGCAATCAGACCACTGGATGAAAATGAGGTAGTTTTATAATGTTCGAAAATTAAGTCTGAGGCCGGAAGTTCAACCACTTCTCTTCATCAGATCAGCTTGAACCAGAGACTCGGATCAATTTGATGTTGGTGGTACAAGAGAAATAGTTGCACTAGCCTTATTCAAAGGTTCCAAGATCAGAGGCCGAGTTTAAAGAATTTGAACCGTGGCTTAAATCCGCCAAAACCCGGTTTAAATTAAGCGCCGGCTTAAATCTTGAAACATTTCATGCAATTTTAAGTGGAACCAATCATATTCATATTCATTAAATTCGGCCTCAGGACTCAAAAAAAAATTGTTAATTACAAATTTCAAATAGGGGTTACTGATATTCACAAGCAAATTATGTCAGAAGTAAAAAATTACAAATTTAGTTGATTCAAACAAAATAATCATATTAAACTAATTTCATAGAGAAGTTTTTATTCAGTTTATAACCTCTTAGAGCAAACTCGATTGATACAAAGGAATCTCAGAATTCACTCATTTTTCTTTTTAAAAATCTTGAAACCGAAATTGTAAAAATGAAATTTTGATGTTTTTTCAGATAAACTTATTGAAGAAAAAAGACACTTACGGGCACTATAAACTAGCAGGGGAGGAGGCTTTAGGTAATGTTATTTTAATTAACCTTGTCCCCTTGTACCCTTGTCCCCATGTCCCCTTGTCCCCTTTTCCCCTTGTACGCTTGTACCCATGTTCCTAATACACCAACCCTACAAACCCTTATCCTCATCTCCAACTCTCCTCTACCTACCATCTAGACTTCTCACACGCAGCAAATGAGACTCGAGGACATTTCCCTGTTGGATCCTACAAAAAAATTACCATTGCGCGGGTCACTTGATTATCCTTCGTTGAATAGCAACCCTCCTTTTACAGGAAGGTAAAAATGTGTGGTTCATAGCAGGGAAGCTATTGCTCCCTCACTGGAGATAGAAACTAACTGTAAGTGCTAGAAGTGATGACCTAGAGTCAATGCAAGTAGACATAATGTTCAGTGCTGAGGCTGCAATCACAAAAAAGCAAAACAAAAAACGGAGAGGGGTACATGGGTGATCCTGCACTGTCTTATGATGGCGCAAAGACGGTTACTCATAAGCATTCTTTCAAAAGCAGCGCCATTAATGAACGAGCAAAGGGAGGCAAGAAAAAGAGAAACTGCGGACACGCAGATGGAGGAAGGAGAAAAAGAATTATTGATGAATATTTGAAATTATTAACTATGCCTCGTACCATTTTATTTTACAAAAATTATAAATAAATAAATTATAAAAAAAATTGTTAAAAAATGTGTGTACTGTGCAGTACACTATGGAAAGAAGGATGGTTTAAACTGGGTTACCCTGAGACTAGCTGACGTCATTGGTCCTAGAGATACTACTTATAGGTAAATACATAATAATACTCAGTACTGCTTGACATAAATTAAATTTTAATGTAAAAAAATTCAACTTTCCTGCACATATTTTCAAAATAATTTTGTTTTTAATTTTTGGTTAAATACTCGATACGCAATTGAATACGTAATACGTATACATAACAAACCCATAATAGTGCACAAAAATAGAGAAGGGTGGTGGGGATGGGGGGGGGGGTGTTGAACAGTTTTCTATTTTATAATTTAGCCTAGTAAACATATTCTATGATTTAAAATTTATCTATATAAATATATATATATAGATGGTGGATGTATCAACTGTGGATTAAATTCTTTCCTGAAATCAAGAAACCTATTTCTATCCCAGAGAAAATTAAAAATAAGGTAATTCTAGAAAGTTAAGAAATGGTAATTCTAGAAAACTAAAGAAAAGTATAGTTCTAGAAAATTTTAAAAAAAGTAATTCTAGAATTTGAAAGGAGTCCAGAAAATGTAAGGAAATTTCTAGAAATTGTAAAAGGAAATTAAAATATTTCTAGAAAATGCAATAGAAAAGATAGTTAAATTAAAGGAAATTTAAGTATTTATAAAAATGTAAGGAAAGACAGTGCTAGAAAATTAAAGGAAAGGTTGTTCTAGAACACTTGAAAAAAAGTAGATCTAGAATGTTATTTTAAATAGGGACTTTTTAGAGGTCAAGAAAAGCCGAAAATATGAAGAAAAAAGATAATAGCAAATTAAAAGTTCAACAAAACAAAGGAGTCCAATCTCTTAATAATAATATTTAAGGTTGAGTCCCTTACATATGTAGAAGATGTTGGTAGAGTTATTGGTCAGCTCATGAAACTTGGTCCTGATTCATGGAACCAGGTAGAGTTATTGGTCAGCTCATGAACCTTGGTCCTGACTCATGGAACCAGGTAGAGTTATTGTTCAGCTCATGAAACTTGGTCCTGATTCATGGAACCAGGTAGAGTTATTGTTCAGCTCATGAAACTTGGTCCTGACTCATGGAACCAGGTAGAGTTATTAGTCAGCTTATGAAACTTGGTCCTGACTTATGGAACCAGGTTCACAATCATAAGTTAACTTTTTATTTATAAAAAAGGTTTTACCGTTGATTTTCAAGATTTATTTGTTAAAAAGAAAACATTTTTGGGGGGAAAAATAATAGTTTTACTGTAATTTAAACGATTATTTTATGTCACATTTCTTTCTAAGTTTATTGTCAATGATTCGAATAATAACATTTTTTCTTTTTGTTCAAGGTTTATAATATTGCGCTGGATGATGAATTCTCTCTCTCTAATATTCTTCTGAGGATTAGGGACGGACTAGGGGTAACTGAGGTAACAAAACAAACACTGAAACCAGGGGCGTGTTCAGGGATCTGTCCAGGGGAGGGCTTAGATTTTTTCTTTCTTTCTAAGGGGGGGGGCTCGGTGCCCCCCCTGAAAACTACAGATTTAACTGACCCAGGGGGGGGGGGCTAAGCCCCCAACATATCAATTAAGGAACGATAATTTATAGCTTTGACGTTTCTAGAAAGTGACGGGCTGATTTTTACGGCACTGGCGAGCAAGAAAATATACCAGATGTTCCAAATACTATTGACACTTTTTAATTGCAGTTCCAGAGTGACAGCAAATAACATTAACTAATCCCTTATTATTAAGGTATTAAGTGAGGTTACTAAAGATGAGAAAGCATACCAAGGATATCCATCTGTACTGGCAGGTTCTATGGATATATCTAAGGTAGGAATATCCATCTGTACTGGCAGGTTCTATGGATATATCAAGAATATCCATCTGTACTGGCAGGGTCTATGGATATATCTAAGGTAAGGATATCCATCTGTACTGGCAGGTTCTATGGATATATCTAAGGTAGGAATATCCATCTGTACTGGCAGGTTCTATGGATATATCCAAGGTTGTAATGCAAGGAAAGTTAATTGCAGTTGCGTATACTCTGCGTACATATTGAAACCAGTTGATTCTGGGCGGAATAGATGCATCAGTGTTCGTTTAGTATCCGAGGAGGTTAAAAGCATTGAATTTTGATAATTCACATAATAGTTTCCTATGAATATTTCATTGATTGTTTATGTGAAAGATGGATCCCATGTCAGGCTTCGACATCCGTCTTGTATTTACAATATTACCGCCAAGTGACAGTACACTGCAGTACAAAAGATGCGGACACCTCTGAAATAACTTTCCTTGCATTAAATCCTTGGATATATCTAAGGTAAGGATGTCCATCTGTACTGGCAGGTTCTATGGATATATCTAAGGTAAGAATATCCATCTGTACTGGCAGGGTCTATGGATATATCTAAGGTATGGATATTTATCTGTACTGGTTCTATGGATATATCTATCTATTCTAAGGTACCTAAAGAAAGTTTTAAAAATTTGTTATTTTAACATTTGTCTTTTTTGCATTTTTTGTTCCGCTTGACACTAAACGGTATTTTCCAGATCGGTAGGAAAATTCAAACTTCAGATCGTGATATTAAACAAGTTTCAGGTAGTCAATAAATTCTTTGTGAATAACACTGTCTACTGTTCATTTTAGGCTAGAAAAGAACTTGGATTTGAACCTACCCCAGTCGACGAAGCTGTGGCAAAAACAATTGAATTTTATAACCAAGCGTTTATAAAGGTAAATATTCAAACAAGAGGGCATTGCAGTGTACAACGCACTACATAATAGTGTTGCACTCTCATATTTAAAGGCTGCATTTGTTGCATGAGACGTGCTGGGTCGACACTACACTGGGTAGACCAGACTGGACTGTACGAGTGAATGCAAACACAGTCCATATTGTACCGGCTCGTTTCATGAAACTTTTAGAGTAGGGGGGGGGGGGTTAAGCAATAACCTGGTATGTTTTGAAATAATGTGAGTCCTCCAGTAGATCTGTTTTAATTGTTTGGTCTTTTTTACATTATTAAATATCAATTGTTGGTTATATAATTGATTTGTGAAATGAATATGTCATTCGATAATGGATTTTAAACATTATAACGAGAATGGCTAAACGCTTAGCTGATTGAATGATTGATTTATTCATAAACCTTATTTTTATTGAATGGATTGATTCGTTGATTAATTGAATTATTCATTTTAATATTTATTTATCAAATGGATTGATTTCATAAATTATTTTCTTCAGTTTCCTAAGGAACGAGATTTGGTTCTGTCAGATTTGATGACTTCAGTTATATCTAAGGCAAGAAAACTATTTATCATTCAACACAAAATAATTCATCCATTCATTCAACACAATATAATTCATCTATTCATTCAACACAATATAATTCATCTATTCATTCAACACAATATAATTCATCAATTCATTCAACATAATATAATTCATCCATTCATTCTACACAGTATAATTAATCAATTCATTCAACTCAATCTAGTTCATCCATTCATTAAAAACATGAATATAATGCATCTATTCATTCACACAATATAATTTATCTATTAATTCTACACAATATAATTAATCAATTCATTAAACTCAATCTAGTTCATCCATTCATTAAAAACAATTTAATTCATCTGTTCATTCCACACAATATAATTTATCCGTAACAAGGGAAGGAATGGAAAATATACCGATTTCTTTCGTTTATTTAAATAATCTGTAAAATATCAATGTTAGTTTTTAATAAAAATCTGATAAAAATATGTGTTTTCCAAGGATAAAAGGGACGCAGTGTATGGTGCGATAGATCGGGAGTTATCTAAACTTGGTGAAATAGATCCTAGGTAAATATTCAATACTAGAAATTCAAGGCGCTTCGCGCCCTTCTTTCTAGTCTTAGAGGGCGCTTCGCGACCATCTCCTAAATTAATTGTGAACATGTTCTCTTTGTGTACATCGTAAAACAAAACAAAAATAATTCGTGGATTTTCACAAAAAATTTCGCGGATTTTCAAAATTTTAAAAAATTTAATGACGATCGAATTTTGATGGAGACAAATATTTGAAATTTTGATGATTCATAAACCTTCCCTGGAGTCCCTAGATGTCCCACAAAAAATTTGGGCCAAATCGGTTCAGCCGTTTTGACGTTTATTGGATACAAACAGACAGACAGACAAACAAACAAACAAACAGACAAGCCAAATTTATATATAGATTAAGGGACTGTTTACTGTTTTTTCTAAACGTGATAATATAATATTTGCAAACTTTAGAAGAATTTTTATTTTTATACAATGGTCCTCATTATAAAATTAAATAAAAAGACGGCCTGAAAATCAATATAAACTGTTAAATCAAATATTGTTTTAAACAATTAGTTAGTCCTGCAAGAAATCAGAAACATAATTCACGTTTACCATTTTTATGAAACTATTTCATCACAGATCTTTAGTCTAAAATTCGTCTTCACATTCTATTCTGTCACTTGAAATACGATGTGAAAATGTGAAATATTTTGGCCTGATTAGTTTTCCATAAATATCTAATTAACGATAAATTATCTTTATTAAACCACCCTAGGTATAGAAAGGCTAGGATGGGTGAATTGGCCGAACTACCAACCTTCTCAAAACAAGAATTATAACAAATTATATTTTGTAAAACAAATAAAAATTTACTAGTTCTTTGGTCTATTTCTAAATTGTCTAATTTACAAAATATTATTAGAGATATCCTTAATTTACCAAACCAAACCAAACCTTTTTTAGTTTTTGTATCCCTAGATATGAAAATAGAAATATGTTCAAAAAGCACATTTCAGCTTCTCTCACGGTCAGCTTTATAGTGCTAGAAATTTTATAACGTTTGTAAATTATCCTAAAGCCATGATAAAACAAATTCACCATTTTGATCAGCATATATCTTAATGGGTTTTTGAATAAGAGGCAAAAATAAAAATTATTTTTCCTATGTTTAGCCTGAAAAGGCCATAATATTAACAATTATGGGTCGATTTTGTAGAAAATAGTAAAAACCCAGCAGGAGCATTTACTTAACGAATTACCAAATCTGTTTATCATGATTGTATGATAATTTATAGATGTTTTGAAAACTTTATCTTTAATTCTTACCATGGGAGAAACGTTAATGGGCTTTTTGAATATATATATATATAAAGCTAAATAACCTAGAAACCAAGCCAGATTTTGCTATTGTATTTCTTTTTTTGGATGTACACATTAGATTTAGTTCTCAATGTGAATTAATCAATATTTGGTCAAGGAAAAACATAAAATGGTCAGATTTTTTGAACAATTTGATAAATCTAAAAGACCTAATATTTGAGTACTGTTCTGCATGCTGTAAAAACCTCATTTTTTGACATTCCAGATAGTGTTTTTTAATAGAGTAAGAAGCTAATAATAAAATTTGAACAATTTTTCAACTCCTGAAGATAATTAACATTTTTTCAATAAATCCTGTAAACTATTTTATTGCTGAAAATCCTAAATTAATTCGTCTAACAGCAGGGTCTCTCTTTTTTTACAAACAGATTATTTATATATATCTATATATTACATTCACCACCTGTAATAGATATCTATCTATCTATCTATCTGCCAACAACCTAAAAAACATTTAAGGAGAATTAAAAAAATATGCCCTTCTTCAGTGCATGAGGTTTACTTTCAGGGGCGTATTGTCCTAGGGGTGGGGCAGAACTTTTTTGACATTCCAGTTGGGGCTCATGATAACGCCCCTGTATATTTCCAGGTAGAATCATTAAATCAGACCTCCGCGAAATATAATTATTGCAAATTGTAGATTAAAAAGTTTTGTGTGTGCCTTGACTTCTGCGACCCTATACTCACATTTCTTTCTTTCACTCTTTAACTTTTTACAAACCATACATTGGTAGATTTATCAAACAGGGTGCTCCTCTAGAACATGGTCCATGCAAATCAGAATCAAATTTTTTACTAATATACACATATAGATGTAAATCTAGTTTCAAAATGTAATTGCAGAAATATTAAATTCTTGATTCAAGTTAACATTAAGATTTGAGTTAATTTGTTATCAAGGAACAGGGTACCCGGTCGATTTTAAATAAAAGTTTCTATATTTTTCAGTAAACCCCGTTTAAACTATCTGTATCTCTAAATTTAAAGATCATACAAGATACACTGCGCAAAAACTAAAATGGCATTGTTAGACTGACGCTGCAAAACCATGCGAAAATTTGTGCAATTACCAGCGACAATTAGGGTCTATAGGTTGGTAAGAAAAAAAACATACGAAACCCTTGAAATTGAAATATATCTGTTCTAGGGAACTAACTGAAATATTCTAAAAGAACGATATAATAGCCCCAAACACACCCTACCCAATTCTGCAAATGTTGTGCTAAAAGTGAACATATCCTACCCGAGCGGAGTATCTTAAAAAAAAACGTTTTTTTCATCAACATTTTAGATTAGGTTATAATCAGTAGCTTAACACTTATATCTCTGCAACCATATTATGGTGTTAAACTTTAACAATTTGATCTAGAAAAATTCTTTATTTGGAATGTTTACGGCATAGGACGTTAGGAATAGGATGCAAAGATAAAGAGATTAGAAAATTAGAATTAGTTTCAAGGGTTCATCCATTCAGTACCGGTCCAAATAAATAGTATAAACGTACATTTGTAAACAGGTAAAACATAGTTAGATAGGTAATTGTTAAAGAGTCCATATAACAATACCTACCGACAAAGGTGTAAAGTTAATTAAGAAATTTAATTCAATTGATTCAATTCATTCAGTTTATGGAGTTTCTAATTCCCAGTAGCAAGCAATATGCTTCCTCTGCACGCTGCGGCTGAGATTTGGAAAGCTTGAACTTGAGTAAACCTCGGTCTTTTTACGACCAAGTGAAGCTCAAACCAAGACTCGAGTCTTTGCTGGACTTGGGTGTAGTAAAAGATCGTAAATTTTGTAAATACTATTATATTTTTACATTAAAAATCTCGGGAATTATCTGTAGTGTTGAAATGGGCTTGATTTATAAAATAAACACACGACGGAAATAATATACATGTTTAAAGTTTAAGTTTTTACAATTTACTCCGAGCCAATCAGCTAATTAGGCTTTCTCTTTCCTTTTATTGGTCAAATCAGAACCAATTAGAATCATTCGGTCTATTTGTTGACCCAAGGGAAGACCCGGGTGTAAGAAAGGTTAAAGTCTATGAAAGACCGTAATTTATTTTTAAAATCTGAGCTCTGAATACAGAGCTAGAATATTGATGGTTTCAGAATACCGACCAAATAATTGCAAATAAACTAGAAAATGCATTTATTGTTAAAACTTATTATTTATTATTAGATAAATAAGCAGTTGTGTCTTTATCTGAGTATCCTAGATTGATATAATAAATCAGACTCTGTCAGTTCTTTGTTCTGTAAACACGAGTCATAGATAGACCGACAGATAGATAAATAGATATAGATAGATAGACAGATAAATAGATAGACAGATAAACAGATAGACAGATAGACAGACAAACAAAGAGACAAATAGACAAATAGACAAATAGAGAAACAGACAAATAGACAAATAGACAAATAGACAAATAGTAGGTATATGTGGTAAATATATATGTTGAGTAGGTATATATGGTAAATATATATGTTGGTAGGTATATGTGGTAAATATATATGTTGAGTAGGTATATGTGGTAAATGTATAAATGTTGAGAAGGTATATGTGGTAAATGTAAAAATGTTGAGTAGGTATATATGGTAAATATATAAATGTTTAGTAGGTATACATGGTAAATATATATGTTGAGTAGGTATATGTGGTAAATGTATAAATGTTGAGTAGGTATATGTGGTAAATATATATGTTGAGTAGGTATATGTGGTAAATGTAAAAATGTTGAGTAGGTATATATGGTAAATATATAAATGTTGAGTAGGTATACATGGTAAATATATATGTTGTGTAGGTATATGTGGTAAATATATATGTTGAGTAGGTATATATGGTAAATATATAAATGTTGAGTAGGTATATGTGGTAAATATATATGTTGAGTAAGTATATGTGGTTTGAGTAGGTATATTTACCGTAAATGTTAAAGTGCCGACCTAAACCAAAATCAATTTGTCATGATCTGATAGTTTTACATTTGAATGGTTTTACGAAATTTTTATATAATCAACGAAGAAAGATTTTCCACACTTTTGCGTAAAAATTGTAAAAATTTAAAGTATCAATAAATTCCTAAAAATCATATTTTCACTGCATGTGTGCTTCTTCTTAGGAAATTTCAGTCTCAAGAATTCTCATATCATTGCATTGTTTTTATCCAATTTAATACATCGTAATGTTGTTTATTTATTTCCCCTTTTCCTTGTTTTCCTGAAGAGTACATTCACTTTAATCCTTTATATTTTTTATCACGGCTAAACTGATTTTTCATTTTTGTCAGATTGGTGTTTTGAATTATAAGATGCTCTTCTCAGGCGCGCAATTAGACATTTTGTTAAGGGGGGGGGGCAAGAGGGAAATTGTTTTCGCCCCCCCCCCCAAACATTTCTAGAAAAATGAGTATTATACTCAAACAATATAAAAACTAACCTTACCGACAGGAAATTCAGTGATTCAGATGTGTTATCCGATATGAAATAAAAAAGAAATCTATTCTGGTTAATGTAAATCACAATAATAATTAATTTACAATTTACATATATACATGTTCATTATTCATCCGACCATGAATCAAATTTGCACATTGTACTCACACTGACAAGAAATGCCTTTCATTAAAAAATCATATTTTTGCATGAAAACTATTTTTTTAATATGACACATCACACAATATTTGTGGTGAACATGTCGGATTAATTTGATAGTTGTACTACAGAATATCCATTGAACTATCTGTACACTTGTTTACAGAGCTAGTGATCGTATTTCTAGCGGGATTTTATGGAATCAATTTTATTTAAATTTTTTTTTCTTCATACAAAGAGAATGTTAGCTGCAAACATTTGACAGTTTTTAATTAATTTAATGAATTTTAACACAATTAGAAATCTAAAAAATAATTCAAAATGTTCTCATAGCGTAATTTTTTCTGATTCAGAATTTTATCTAGAGCAAAGGCCTCCTCCCCCCCCCCTCGCCCTGTATAGTTGTGACTTCGGGAAAACAAACAAACAAACCAGCAGAGATTACTACTTTATATATATAAAAATACATAGATTAGAGGTTCCGTGATTTCCCACTTCTCCCGAGGTTTAGTGATTTCGCAAAGATGTATCAACTATTGTTCTGATGTTCTTTAACTTTTTCAGTAAATGTATTTATCATGCTCGTATCAAGGGGGCTGAACCAGNGGGGCACTGGTGGGGCACAATATCTGAAACATAAAATATAGAAGGAAAAAATGGAAAGAAGGAAACGGAAAGTAAAATCAAAGTGGAAAAGAGGGAAGAATTTTTACCAACAGTATGTGTTACAGTGTGTTACAGGCCTTTTTTCTTTAAACTAAAAAACTTATCTGCAGTAAATTATTTGTCAATTATTATTTGTATGTGAACGTTTTAGGTTTGAAACTATTTCTAACATTTTGAGAATAGAGAAACTTATCTTTTCCCTTCTTTTAATAAGTTAATGGCCTTTATCA